TTTGAGGTTATTAGTCAAGACCTTTTTTCTTCACCTTGACTGATATAATGTAAGAATTGACACCTCTGTATTATGCACAATTTTCTTTATTTCTCTTGCAAATATTTGATATATGAGCAGGTCATATGAAGAAAAAAAAATAAAATTACTTTTATTTCTGATTTCTACTTACATTTGTCACTTATTAAGAGATGTTCAAAATGTCTGGAAAGGTAGAATGATAATTTTGATCAAAGAGTGGCAAGTAATAGAAATTTTGTCTGTATCCATTATTAATTATTTCCATTTTGCAGAATATAAGCCATATTGAAGACTAACCTACTCATTTTGAATATAGTCTGAAATATAAACAATTGCCAGAGAATGGTCCATTTTGAAAATGACATTCAAGTTCACAATTTTTAATCACTAACAAAATAGCTGAAAGAAAATTTCACTCCGACAGATGGACCGAGCTGAAGAAGAGGCTCACGGATCCACCCACTGCTGCCTTGTGGCTATTGGCCGCCTTCAGGTTACCTCGGCACCAAACACCTCAGATCTCATGGGATCAAACTCGCAAAATGGTTAGTCAGGGGTAGATGTGGAAATTTGTAGAAAGACATTTTTAAGCCACTTGCAATTAGCGCTCGAGGAGGTTATTTGCACTTTGGAATGTATGTACTCATGTGCCTCCTCTTTTCATCAGTCAAGTGGTTATTGCATATTTATATTATGTGACAAATTCATTCTACATTGCATTAGCATTCAATATTTGGCAGACTTCACTGTAAACATATCAAGTCCTTTTGTATTCTGGCACTTCTTGTATATAAGTTGATTGATATACACTTGTACAATACAGTTGCTCAGTCAGTTATCTTAAACCAAATTTTTTCTTTTTTTTTCGAAATGTTTTTGATTGTAGTTCAAGATTTTCTGTAATTCTATCATCTCTTAGGAAAAGGAAAGGTTATGTGTGCATTTAGCAGTATTGATATTATTTCTCATTGGCTACCATGTAAATTACTGTCAATTTATTACCATCCTCATCCCTTTTAAAATAATTTGTTACAATGAGTGTTTTTAAAAAAGCAGGAATGATTGCCATTTTGTATTAAGTATTTTTTTCTGGGAAAAAGGAACAAGGCTTTTTGGTACTGACATCCAGTGAAGGTTTTTATTAGGTATTATCCATGCCAATGGGAATATAAGTAAATTGTCTGAAGGTTCATTTTATTTATGAAGTTTTAGTCATTTATGTAAGTGAAAGGATTACATCTCTGCTTGTGAGACTCTTTGAACTAGTAATTTATCAAATTATATGCATTCCTTTTTCAGAGTTCATTTCTCGTCATGCCATGGACGGCAAGTTCACTTTTGTCGACCAGCGGGTTATGACAGTCCTGGGATATTCGCCACAAGAGCTGTTGGCCAAGCCATGCTTCGACTTCTTCCACCCAGAGGATCAGACGCACATGAAGGAAAGCTTCGATCAGGGTGAGTGCAGAATTGTGTAAAGAATTACCCTGCAGAAGAGAGTGGAACAAATGTAGAGGGTTATAAGTGATTTTCTGAATATACATGCTATTGGTAATTTCTAGAAGCTCGTGTATGGGGAATGGATATTCTCCTGCCCTCAGATGGATTGTAAGTAATTGTAAAAATGAGAACATGAATTGATGTTGAGTTTCCTAGGTTTGGTTGAAATTTTTTTCTAAATATGCTTAATTTTTCTTGCAGTATTAAAACTGAAAGGCCAAGTGATGTCGGTTATGTACCGCTTCCGTGGAAAGAACCGAGAGTGGGTTTGGCTGAGGACCGCCGCCTTTGCATTCCTCAACCCATACACAGATGACATTGAGTACATTGTCTGTACAAATAATGCAGCCAAGTAAGTGATGCTCATTAATGGCAGATGAGTATTATGATGTTATGATGAATGTTTTTAATAATGATAGATTACCAAAGTATCCGTGTTTCCCATTTATATTAGGTATGATATTTGGTAGTAGGATGCAGTGGTTTGTACTGCCTTCTGTTGAATTTGCATTATCACTTTCACAGTAAGAACTAAGTAAAGAGAATAACACCTCCAATAATTTTCCCCCAGAACTGTCCAAGGAGGCGGTGAAATGAGTGCCAACACGGAGCACCAGGAAGTCAGTTCGGTCAGCAGCCAGTATGGCACCCACCCGCCAGGCTTGGAATACTCTTTACAGCGGCAGAGAGGAGGAGAACTGTACCCACACATGGTCCAGTCACACATTCACAGTACGTGTTTTAAGCTTGGATATTTAAAAAGCAAGAAGTCCTTTTGGATTTTATTTTTTATATTTTTTATTGGATTGTTAACCCAAGTGAGGTCTTTTTTTGGTGTGTGTACTAGGACTGGTTAAGGGTGTTGGCATTGGTGTGTAGTAGACTTTGGGGAAAAATAGATGGTGCATTAAAGTTTTTAACTGGAGACTGGTTACCTTATTTTACTTTACCATCATCTTTTTTGTGGATTCATCCCTTTTATTTTTAACACATTAAAGAAAAGAAAAAAGAAAAAAAAGAAAAATCAGCCATTGCTTTATTTTCTAAGCCATAGAGTAGGTCTTTTTTTGTGAAACATCAAAAGCTGTATATTTTGTCTTTTGTGGATGACCCAAATGCTGGGGTCTGAGTGTCTGAGCTGAAGATTAAAACTTGACCATTCATCTTCAGGCACTGATCTTCCTGATGATGGAACCTTCCAAATAAGTATGTTGAAGTCTGTATATCACAATATATATATATAAATGAATATGTCAAAGAAAAAAAAAAAAAAACACCTGTAGCGCTTTTAATTAACAAGAGATGATATAGCGACTCAATCTCATGTTAGCCAAGTTCTATAGTTGTGTAATTCTATTAGCTTATTCACTGGAAAACATAGCACTGTATTTTAAGAAACCTGTAGACGACAAGATGTTTCGTTAAGATTCTGTTTTGTATTTGTGTATTTGCAGTTTCTATCTTGCTTTCACTCACACTTGCTTCTATTACTCTTGGTCTTGCACATCTCTCTTCCTCTTCTCCTATGCTTTTTTTCTCTCTCTTTATTCCCCCATCTGTGTTATCCCTCTTCCTGTCTTCCCCTCCTCTCATTTTGTCCTTCTTCTCTCTCACCCATCCTCTCCCCTTTTCCCCTTTCTCTTTCTTCTTTTCTTCTCTCTCTCTTACTCACTTGCTCACTCTGGTAGATAAGATTAATGATTTTGTTTGTTTGTTTCCTTTTGTTTTCTCAATGTTGATATATTTGTTCTGTTTGTGTTTTCGATGCCTATTATTTTGTAGTGAGTATTTTCTGTATACCAAATGGCACATATAGTTTATAAGGATAACAGAGTATTTGGTTTTAGATTAGGATTATTTATTTTGAACCTCCATTTTGAATTTATTTTTATTTAATGGTTGTATTGATTTTTCCATGTTTTAATTTTTAAACCTTTTCTAGTGATTAAAGTTTGCCAAAACATTTAGATTAACTGAAATTATCTACACAGGCTCAGTTGCCTTTTCAAAGTTGAAGATTATATTCATCATGGCATTTTTTGGAGAGTTTTATTTTTTCTCTTGTGCCCTTTTTTAGTTTGATTTTATATCCTGAAAGAAACCCCAGTCTTCACAAATGGTCCTGCATCAGCTCTAATAACATTTCCGCCCCCCCTTCTCCTCTTCTTCTGCAGCAGGTTCTGGGAGACCGAGTAGTACCCAGGGTGTGTACAGTGGCTATGAGGCTGGGGCTTCACCCTTAGCTGGCTACTCCCCAACCACCCCTCAGGCCGCTCCACTCACCTCCCAGTCCTCCTCCAGCCTTCCACGCAACACAAAGTCGTCCTCGCCTCCATCTACGGCACAGGCAACTGCTTGGTCCAATCCACACATCAGACAGGTAGAGTTTTGTGCAGTGTTGTGCTTTGCATGGCTGTGTATGTGTTTGCCTGAATGTCCTTGTGTGTTCTAGTGTGTGATGTTATGTATGTGTGGATAACTGTATTTTTCCTTTTTTTTCTATTGCTTTTGTCTTCTTCTCTTGGAGAAAATGAAATCAAACATTGTCTGTTTTGAAAGACCTTGTTAGTGCATCTGAGACTGTGGCTTTTGACTTTTGTTCTTTTGTGACTAAAGATTGATTAATAGTTTACACTTCTGTAAGCAGCAAGGTGGATCTCTTTGTACATTAATTATCAGTACCCTGAACTTGAAATTTTTCAATCATTTTCAAACTTTGAAGAGTATACCCATTTTATTTTGAAATATTTTTTAAGCAAAGTTTATCTTCTTTTTGAAATATGACCCAAAAAAAAGAGAGAGAGAGAGAGAGAGAGAGCAAAAAAGTGAGAAATACAGCATTTACTGAATTCTCCCACGTGCATTTCAGAGTGGTGACGGGTACACTTACAGTAGCAACATGAGCCCATCCCGCTCTCCCTCCACCCCCTCGTACACTCCCCGTTCTCTGCCGTCGTACACTCCAGCAGCTGGCTCCTCAGGTGGGTAATCTGATAGATGGTGTTGGATGAGCTGAGGCTGATGTAAGCAGTTCAAGGGCTATGGCCAGAGTAAAGGACTCTTGTGTGGTATCAATAGGTAATTCAGGAGGGGAATAACTTTTTTTTTTTTTTTTTCCATTGCTTATTTTTAATGTAATGATTAATTTGCTGTTGTTATTTTGAATGTGTATAAAGTATTAACTCTTTGCCTCTGGATGGCATGTATGTTATTTCAAGAATGGCTATCTTGCCAGGGACTTGTATGTCATACCACTTTTATCTCAGTTCAATCACTGTTTTCTGTGATGGGCAGAGGCTTGTGCAGGAGTTAGGTTAAAGAAATAGATAATTAAAATAAAGGTCTTAGTATTTCAGACATGCTTGTATCAGAGCTAAAAAACAGGACTTTACCTTTGCCATGGAAATAAGTACATTGGTTGCCCTTACATGGCATGCACTACCATGTTTTATATGTGACCAGTTGGAGTTCCTACTGCTTTAGTCAGCCCAGAGGCATTGATTAAATTTCTTTAAAGCTGGCAATGTGTATTATTCATTTTCATATTATTATTATTATTATTATTTTTTATTAGGTACTGTTATAATTTGTTTTTTGTGAAGGTTGATGATACTCCATTTTTACCTAGGGATTACTTAAAGTTTATTTTGGTTGTATTACAGGAATGTGGCAGTATCCCAGCATAGGTGCGGAGGGGACGAGCGCAGGCCCATCCACCAGTTCAGGCCACCCGGGCACTGCCTCAGGTCACCACCCAGGCAGTGGAGCTCCAGGCACTCAGCCAGAGCTCACCGACATGCTGCAAATCCTCGACCAGTCTGGAGCCACGAGCTTTGATGACCTAGGAAACATGTTCAATACAAACTTTGAATGAGGAACCCAGAGTGTAGTGTTGCCCCTCACAAAAGACTCAAGTGCGAGTGCTTCGACCGTTGCTGCTACTCGTAAGGTGAATTCGTAAGGGAGAGTCTTGGTATCCACCCACTACAACATTGTTCATTTTTATGTCTCAACAAGTGCCTCAACGACAGTCTGATCAGATTCGGTAATTCCCACATATTTTTTGTAGGTAGGCCTCTTTCTACTTCGCGAAGGTATGATGTCAGAATTGTTTATTTAGTGGAAAGTTCAAATAATAATGGATACTGGAACTCCCTTAACAAAGTAGCTTCCAGATTAGTTGCTGTCAACTGGGACAATGCCTGATGTACTGTACAGGCAGGACATTTGAGAAAAAAAAACAAAAATATGTTGGCCTATGCATATTTACAGTGACAGGTACTTATCTGTCATAATGGGTAAACCATTATTATTGTATCTTTTAAAGTGTAATTAGGTAATTTTTTTAATATTGTAATTATTATAATGGTTTTATTTTTTGTTATGCATTTGCACTTATTGAAAAGTTTTCTTTGATACATGCAGCAAAATTTGCATTGTATCTGTGGAAAAACCAGCATTTATTTGCTTAGACAGTATTACCCTCTACAGTGCAACCTTTGGAAAGTATTCCATATGCTGTAGTAATAATCAAATTGCATTTATGCAATAAGTTTTTTTTCTCCTTTTTTCTTTTTCTTTTATCTTATTTGTTTTTGCTGCTGGTAATCAAAGTGTTTCGTCCTTGTATAGGTATTAATTTTATGGTCCCTGAAAGGGAGATAATGATTGAATTATTTTTCCAAGCTGTACTTTATCATAACTTAGGGATTTCTCTACACTGTATATTTATGCACAATTTAGAGGAGTTAGCCTTCAAGCACATGTCCAGGAATGAAGAAAATGTGAGTGTCTCATTATTTTTTTATGTTTGCTTCTATGAGCCTAGCATTGGAGATTTGAAGAGATCTTTGCCGTGGATGCAACATGCGTGTGCTCATTTTTATTTCACTTCTCACCCCATGCAAACCAAGCAACATCCTCAGTAATCAGAGCAACAAAGCACACTCTTCATTTGTCAATCCTCATCTGCCACCGCGCAGGGTCTTCCAAGGCTTCAACTTACTGTGAAACGTCATTTCCTGTTCCAGATGGGTTGGAGGAACAGATACTGTTGCTTCTCTCTCTCTCTCTCTCTCTCTCTCTCTCTCTCTCTCTCTCTCTCTCTCTCTCTCTCTCTCTCTCTCTCTCTCTCTCTCTCTCTCTCTCTCTCTCTCTCTCTCTCTCTCTGTCTCTCTCTCTCTCTCTCTCTCTCTCTCTCTCTCTCTCTCTCTCTCTCTCTCTCTCTCTCTCTCTCTCTCTCTTTTCCGGTTTTGGTTTTAATCAAATCTGCGACGACCTTGTTGCTGAGGTTGACGGCAGGTGCGTACAGGGTCATGTGGGGGCGAGTTCATTGCAGGTAGGGCGGTCAGGGTCTTTCACTAATTGTTACTCCTTAGATATACTGTTTTGTTGAACTTGGGGTTTAGGGCACTAACATTCTTCCTCATTAAAAGAATGGTGAACAGGAACATAGATGGTCTTTTCATATTTGTAGTTCAGGTGTCTAATATTATGCTCCTTTTAGGTAGATTTTGTGATTGTAAATTTGTCTGTCTTACTACTTTGAAGGTTGAATAACCATTATGCAGTTGTTTTGTTTTTTCTGTTTATTGGAGCTTTGATGCTATTGATATAGTAGCTCAGTTTGTACAATGACTGTGTAATATATATTTTGTCTTCTTATGATGTCAGTACAAGGTATCTCAGAGCTCTGAGAGCAAGTTTTGCACGGCTGGTGCACTGTCACCAATATCTATTTAATTTTGGACATATCATTCGTGGCTAGAGGGAGAAATGGGCTTATGGCTTGGTACAAAAAGGCCCATGGACTGAGACTTGATACAGGTTTTTTTAGTTTTCTTTTTTTTTTAATATCTGCAAAAATCCAGTGTAGCTAGCTGATTTTGTAGCCAGATAGTGTTGAAAATACATTATAAGCATTCCTCTATTGTAATTTTAGGGTGGTGATAGAGAGATGTGTGCCATGTCTCCATGGGTTTTGTGCCAACAGGCTGCAAGCCTTGAATGTAACCTTGTTGAATACAGAACTAGGTAAAATTGGACAGCAGTCCAACTTCTCAAGAATTAGTGGAAATTTTGGATAAAACTTTTTTTTTCTTTGTAAAAAACAAGGTTTGACAGTATCCCTCAAGTCTGTAGTTGTAGATGAATAAAGACGGATCTGCAGATGTCTGCAATTTTGGGTCTTTGTTGTGTGTATGTTATATCAAGCATGATTGTGTATGCTTTGAAAGATTTACTTGTGTACAACTGAAGGTTTATATATATAAGGGAGTCATACCTGTAAATACAAACCAGTACTGTATGCAAGTGTGAAGACCATTTATTTTATTGTACTTTAACTGATAACTAACCAAATTGTTAATATGGGGCTGGTATGGATGTACAATGATGTTCACCCAGTGACGCAAATCGAGGAACAGTGGAAGAAAGTGAAAGCAAAAACTAGGAACCAGAACAAAAAACGTGTGTTGCTGGTCATATGAGCGCAGCATGGAAGATGTAGTGTGTGTATTAATCAAGGTATTTAATTATGTTTTTAAGCCATGATTTGTGCATCAGGAAACATGAGGCACAAGTTGGAATAGCTTTGTCAGTGGCCATATTAATATAAGGGAAGACTGTGTCGTGGGTCCTGTGTGCGGAGCCGAAGGAGCAGGCCGTTGGTCCACACTCACCAAGGAGCTCTGCCAGTGCAATATTTGCTGCAACACCATGCCAAGCTAGTGGGGCATGGCTGACTTTTTTGTCACAATAATCATCTGATATACTAATTAATTTTTGTACAATTGTAATCCACTTCAAAATACAATTAGAATTACTTCAAATAATCCTAGCCACTTTGTGTGAACTGGGAAAAAAAATATAAACAAAAAACAGAAAATCTGTAGCCCAAAATGAGATCTTATTTTCTTTTCCCCTTTGTATGTTAAATCTTTTTAACTGGGGAATGTGTGTGGGCTTCTTGTCCGGCCGCAAAGGCTGATGTTTCATTGCAAAGTCCGGTGAGATTAAAATTGAATTCTTGTCTGCTCCAAAATACCAAACGAGAGATACTTGTTTACAAAATACATTGATTTATGGATGTGTATCAGTAACTCTCATCATTGTATTCTGTAAACTAGTGTGGTGAATTGGTTTGATTTCAGACCTAAGAATTATTTTGAATCACTATGTAACACACAGTAAAACATAATTTTTATATGCATTTGTAAGATGTTGAAACATCACAGAACTTTCACTAATTGATTAATTTTTCATCCTCTATCGTTTATACTTCTGTATAAAAAAGAAGAAATGTTTTCAGTGTTGCGAACCTTGACTATGTTGGCAGGACCCGACGGGATGCTCAATTACAGCTGGCTGTCTAGCATACTTTCCCGAGGACTGATTGGCAGTCAGGGTTGCTCATGCTCACCCCTCTGCGCTAGTTGGTCATGATGATCACAACTCTTTTTAAACTATTTATTTTTAGATATTTTATTACCAGTTGCCACCGCGTGTATTTATTACAGAAATCAGTAGCTTTAAAAAGGATAGATCTGTATGTTAGTTACAGGAATAGAGGTTTTATTACAGTCGCTTCCACTGTCATGGATGGAGGTTGTTTGTGGAAGCTTTGTAGGTGTCCAGCACAAGTTACCATTAAATATGTAATCATTTTTACATAAGTTAAAAAAAGTATTGAAGAAAGAAAACTGCAATCAAAGTATGTATGTTATGTCCCTTGTGTGGGGGAAGGGGCTATCATCTCACATAAAATTGGCCAACAGTCCAGGTTTGGGCTAACATAGTCACAGGTTGGGAATTCACCTGTTCTCTGTATGTAAATCACTGTCTTCAGTACCATTTTTATATAAGTATGAGTGCAATGTTTTTTAGAACAATTATTTAAGTACATAGACCTAGCAGTATTAGTGTATGCTACCCTCTGTTAACATAGCTTATGTAAAGGAACTGTATTTGCAGATGGAGCACAGGTGAATTCACTGAAATGACTGTCCTGTGTGTCTACTCATTATCTAGTACTACTTCTAATAAACTTACACTTATCGGACTTTAAGTATGTAAATTACTGACGTATAAATAAACTTATGTCCGCAGTTGTTGTTTTTTCTTGGCACACCCTTCTTTGTTTCATTTTTTGTTTGCTAAGTAATGTTAGAATTATTTTTGGTTGATCATGTTTCTGTGGATCTTGCCCATATAATTTCAACTTAAGGTGCAAATGTGGGGCGTAGCAGGGAAATCAGTTTACTTCATCTCTTATGACATTCAAATATGATCAAACATTTATGTGGCATTTGCAAGCTTAAAATAGAGACTATTTTTTTCAATATAAGCCTTGTAGTCTTTGGATTTATAGAAATATATGCATCTTTTTGGTGAGAAAAGCATAAGATAATAGTGTGTGATGGTACAGAACTTGTATCCATACTCAAGTTCCTCCCAAATTTGATTCATTAATAATGTAATAGTAGTAAGGCAAACTGAAAGAAAATGTTATAATCAAGCTGTAGTGTATCTTCTAGTGATGGCAATTTGATTTAAACTGAAGGTAGTGGCAAAAAAAAAAATCTGTCTCACAGCGGAGAGATAATTTGGTATCAGCTGCAGTTCTGAGGTCTTGGTTTCTCATTACTTTTCATTAGACTATATCAGGTATGTTGCAAAGAATTTCACCATCACCTAAGTACTTTCGTGGAAATAGGCTTTGGACTCCCACGTGATGAGGAACAAGCACAGGGGCGATGAGACTTCTATTTTGAATATAGATGGAACGAGAATATATGCAGATACCCATATACACAAACACACACCCTACCTCCCACAAAATAGTCTTTCTTTTGAGGTTGGATTTTCTCGCTTCCTCTCACCTGACCCTTCCTCTCGCTATCACGTCATCTATACCTTCCCTCTCCATGTCCTCCTCCATGGCTCTAGGTCTCCACCTCCATTTCTTCTTCCTTAAAAGGCCCAGTTCACCCAACCTCTCCACGCTCCCAAACCAAATGAGACTACGCATCATACAGAGATCCTCCACTGATGGGTTAATCCTCCCTCCCGCCTCCCTCCTACATATCTCACATCCCCCATCCATCCTCCTCATCAACATCGACCCGATGTTATCTGCTTTCCTGCCTTTAGAGCCCATGTCTCTGGCCCCCATGACAAGACTGACCTTACACATTTTTTTTCTCTCTCCACGCTAAGGTATTATTTAGTTACTTTTTTTTTTTTTTTTTTTTTTTTTTTTTTTTTTTTTTTTTTTTTTTTTTTTTTTTTTTTTTTTTTTTTTTTTTTTTTTTTTTTTTTTTTTTTTTTTTTTTTTTTTTTTTTTTTTTTTTTTTTTTTTTTTTTTTTTTTTTTTTTTTTTTTTTTTTTTTTTTTTTTTTTTTTTTTTTTTTTTTTTTTTTTTTTTTTTTTTTTTTTTTTTTTTTTTTTTTTTTTTTTTTTTTTTTTTTTTTTTTTTTTTTTTTTTTTTTTTTTTTTTTTTTTTTTTTTTTTTTTTTTTTTTTTTTTTTTTTTTTTTTTTTTTTTTTTTTTTTTTTTTTTTTTTTTTTTTTTTTTTTTTTTTTTTTTTTTTTTTTTTTTTTTTTTTTTTTTTTTTTTTTTTTTTTTTTTTTTTTTTTTTTTTTTTTTTTTTTTTTTTTTTTTTTTTTTTTTTTTTTTTTTTTTTTTTTTTTTTTTTTTTTTTTTTTTTTTTTTTTTTTTTTTTTTTTTTTTTTTTTTTTTTTTTTTTTTTTTTTTTTTTTTTTTTTTTTTTTTTTTTTTTTTTTTTTTTTTTTTTTTTTTTTTTTTTTTTTTTTTTTTTTTTTTTTTTTTTTTTTTTTTTTTTTTTTTTTTTTTTTTTTTTTTTTTTTTTTTTTTTTTTTTTTTTTTTTTTTTTTTTTTTTTTTTTTTTTTTTTTTTTTTTTTTTTTTTTTTTTTTTTTTTTTTTTTTTTTTTTTTTTTTTTTTTTTTTTTTTTTTTTTTTTTTTTTTTTTTTTTTTTTTTTTTTTTTTTTTTTTTTTTTTTTTTTTTTTTTTTTTTTTTTTTTTTTTTTTTTTTTTTTTTTTTTTTTTTTTTTTTTTTTTTTTTTTTTTTTTTTTTTTTTTTTTTTTTTTTTTTTTTTTTTTTTTTTTTTTTTTTTTTTTTTTTTTTTTTTTTTTTTTTTTTTTTTTTTTTTTTTTTTTTTTTTTTTTTTTTTTTTTTTTTTTTTTTTTTTTTTTTTTTTTTTTTTTTTTTTTTTTTTTTTTTTTTTTTTTTTTTTTTTTTTTTTTTTTTTTTTTTTTTTTTTTTTTTTTTTTTTTTTTTTTTTTTTTTTTTTTTTTTTTTTTTTTTTTTTTTTTTTTTTTTTTTTTTTTTTTTTTTTTTTTTTTTTTTTTTTTTTTTTTTTTTTTTTTTTTTTTTTTTTTTTTTTTTTTTTTTTTTTTTTTTTTTTTTTTTTTTTTTTTTTTTTTTTTTTTTTTTTTTTTTTTTTTTTTTTTTTTTTTTTTTTTTTTTTTTTTTTTTTTTTTTTTTTTTTTTTTTTTTTTTTTTTTTTTTTTTTTTTTTTTTTTTTTTTTTTTTTTTTTTTTTTTTTTTTTTTTTTTTTTTTTTTTTTTTTTTTTTTTTTTTTTTTTTTTTTTTTTTTTTTTTTTTTTTTTTTTTTTTTTTTTTTTTTTTTTTTTTTTTTTTTTTTTTTTTTTTTTTTTTTTTTTTTTTTTTTTTTTTTTTTTTTTTTTTTTTTTTTTTTTTTTTTTTTTTTTTTTTTTTTTTTTTTTTTTTTTTTTTTTTTTTTTTTTTTTTTTTTTTTTTTTTTTTTTTTTTTTTTTTTTTTTTTTTTTTTTTTTTTTTTTTTTTTTTTTTTTTTTTTTTTTTTTTTTTTTTTTTTTTTTTTTTTTTTTTTTTTTTTTTTTTTTTTTTTTTTTTTTTTTTTTTTTTTTTTTTTTTTTTTTTTTTTTTTTTTTTTTTTTTTTTTTTTTTTTTTTTTTTTTTTTTTTTTTTTTTTTTTTTTTTTTTTTTTTTTTTTTTTTTTTTTTTTTTTTTTTTTTTTTTTTTTTTTTTTTTTTTTTTTTTTTTTTTTTTTTTTTTTTTTTTTTTTTTTTTTTTTTTTTTTTTTTTTTTTTTTTTTTTTTTTTTTTTTTTTTTTTTTTTTTTTTTTTTTTTTTTTTTTTTTTTTTTTTTTTTTTTTTTTTTTTTTTTTTTTTTTTTTTTTTTTTTTTTTTTTTTTTTTTTTTTTTTTTTTTTTTTTTTTTTTTTTTTTTTTTTTTTTTTTTTTTTTTTTTTTTTTTTATGTCCGAGCGGAATTAAAGCTCCTGCATCATGTCATCATCTACTTCCCGATAGATGACCTCCCCCTCTTCCTCCTCCCCTCCCTCCGTCCCCGTGACATTCCTCGGATCTCTGACGTTTGCCAGTCCTCTTTGCTCATTTAGCTATGTGAGGACAGATCGTGACATAATTTGTGAAACCGTATTCACGGGAGGAACACTGCTCACTGAACATATAACCTTAAAGTGTTTTCGATCAAGCAGTAACCTGGCGGCAGGCGTCCTATGGGGCACACTGAAGTGTTTACAGAAAACCTGCCACCTGCATTCCGAAGGTCCCCCTGCCCCTCCTTCTACGTATGAACTAGGGCATGATTTGGTAACAATGGTTACAAGTATTGGTACTGCCTCTCGTGTGGACGCAGCATTTCATTCAATACATGAGACTGAGTTTGCTCCCACTCCTCTACCAAAACCCTCATGGCCATCGTACCTGTATATTTAATTCACCTTCTTCCCGTAGTCTTTTCATGTTCAACTTTCATTCATCTTTCTACAGTACTGATGCATCTATTGAACGTAACCCAACCTTTGTTCCTTCCTTGGTTTCCGATGTCAGCACCAAGTAATCGGGACGTAACGAGCTTTTCCGGCACTCCCTCCCTGGCCAGTGACACAGCCTCATCTCCCTCTGCCAACCGTTCTCTTGCATTCGCATCACGGTGAAAGGAACATTAGTTAATTGCCCTTCCAACACGGAACCCAAACTGGTCCGTCGAGAACTGCCTTCTAAGTCTTCTATGTCCTTTTGTACTCTCCGTTTCAACCGTGGGCAATCTAATCACCGCATTTTCCTATTACATTACAAACTGGTAAAGTCAAGCACTTTTTTCGGTCCTCAAGAGTACAAATCGTTGATAGGAGTTTTTAAAAAATAGTTTAAATATCGTAGAGCCAAGACTATATAATTCCTTGACAAATTCGAACTACCTTTCCCTCGTATTAAAAGGTAATTTTGATAGGTTTGACTAGGAATTTTTTGGAAGGAGAGTCTATAGTTCATACTTTGGGATAAATTCTGAGGCAGTATTGTTCAGATAAAATGCTGAGGGCATTGAGGGAAAGCTTTTCGAGTTTAATTGTCTGCCTGTCTGTCGTCTGTCTGTCTCTCTCTCTCTCTCTCTCTCTCTCTCTCTCTCTCTCTCTCTCTCTCTCTCTCTCTCTCTCTCTCTCTCTCTCTCTCTCTCTCTCTCTCTCTCTCTCCCGTTACCTCCCTGCTGGGGGCTCAGGCGGTGCTCTAGCAATGCCTTGGTTTTGTCAAAGCTACCCTTGCTTTATTGCTTCTTCTTCCTAACATAAAATGACACCATCCCTGGTCGAACTCAGGGTCACCAACGCACGACCTTCGCACTCGGGTCAAGTTCGTGAGACAGGGTTTCGGAGAAGTTGGTATATCGCTAGGGTAAGACTGTGTTCGGATGTGTGCACAGTAACTCTTTCAAGCTGTAACTCATTTTTTAAAAAGTATTCCCAATAACTACTTAATCTTCATACTAAGTCATTTTTGATAGTAGAGACAAGTCTTAACACAAAACTCATTCGGTTCTTTTGCATATAAAGTAAAATAAAGTTAAACAGCCACAAGAAAGAAAGAAAGAAAGAAAGAAAGAAAGAAAGAAAGAAACAGCGTTTCGAACCCAAGCAAACGAAACGAGCATGATATTAAAGACTTTTTTGGCGGTACACCTGGACGTCTTCAATTTACCTTTTCAGTTTACTCGAAAATTGTATCTCTAATTATTACAGCTCGTTGGTCATCCAGGAATTCATTTGCTTTCGCTCCGTGCACGAGGCAATCAGTTCTCCCA